TTGTTCTGTTTCAATAGTGAATTTAATTGTTGGTTCTTTTTTTTCAAATAATGATTTAATTTATAAAATTAACGTAACCGCTAAAATATCAGTGTTCGAGACGTGTAACCTGAAACTGCAGTTACACTTTGCCAATTTAACCCGTTATTTTTGTTGTAAGCAATGGTGACTTGAGACGGTGCCAAAAACAACCGGTTAAATTGGCAAAGTATAACTGCGGTTTCAAGTTACACGTCTGGAACACTGTTATTTTAGCGGTTACGTTAAATAATGCGAACACTTTGGCCCGCATTGAAATCGGCTCCTGTTCCTATTTTAATTCCACTCATAAATAGCTGTATTTATTTTAATAAATCTGATGAAAACGATCAGCAAATCCGATTATGGAAACATGGGGGGAAAAACCGGTCGAGCCTGCATCGGCATTTCGCAGGTGGCACATAAAATTTGCTAAATGCGTTTCGCATTAAATTTTACCGTACCGTTAAACCGAACATTCACTTTTTTACATAGTCACCCCCGATAGTTCCAGCTTTGAAACAAACATTACTTTAGAAACAGGGTGGGGGATTGATTAGCAATGAAACTTGGCAAAAACACGGTGTCGAAAGTCCCCCGCGCTTGAAAACAAAACAATTGTCATCGCCATAAAGTTGATCATCATCGTTCCGTCGTCCGTTCGTCTATTTTGTCTAGTTTTTATCGGCCGTTCCAAGCGATATTTGCCCCTAATTTGCATCGGCCACCCGCTTCTTTATGTGGATCTTTATTCAATTCCAGTCGAAATGGATGGGGAAATGTGAGCAGCAATAAACCCATTGACAAAATCCCGTTGGATCGATCGAAGAGGCTTTTTGCAATTTTCGTCCTGGTGATTGAACGTGGGGAGGGCGGACGAGGCACGCGGGCATGTTTTATTGCTCAACGTTTGCATTCAAAGTACGCTCGAGTTGCAATTCAAGTGCGTTTTGCGGCCCCATCTATACGGTAACTAGTTTAGGGTTGGTTCTTTTGTTAAAAAGTTGAAAACTTTCACGATGTTTCTGGAAACGCGTGTTTGATTCGCTCGCTTTGATTTTCGTACGAGAGCATATTCATATCAGATCAAGTTCATATTTTCACATCTACTTGAGATTGACGAGAAAGATTCCTTTTCTTATAAATAAATGAAACACAACATAAAAAGCTCGACTTACCATTCAGTTTCCACGTGGGTTTCCATAAGCTACTCGACGATGTTTTGGGAACAAACAAACGCCGGATTTACAATATAAATATCATTTATTTGCCAGAATCAGCACACTTCGTGCGCACAAACCTGCTATCGGTAATTCTCACTTAAATGCACCTCTTTTCCACAGCAAAACAGATAATTTTACAGCGTTCAAAGTCCCGCGATTGTTTTAACCGGCAAACTCATCAGTATGCACGAATTGTATGTTCCCGACTTTTCCAGGCCTTGCGATCAAAAACCGAACTACGCAACTTAGAGTCATGAAGTCTGGTCAGTTTGCCAGTTAAAAACGAACAAATCGACTTAGAGAACTTGTTTATACAAACAATCCAATTTAGTTGAGGCTCTTTGCGCTTATCGGTCTAAAACATCGAATACTTATTTATATAATCACATCAAATGGGGTGCTTTATTTACTTATTTATACAGTTGCATTAGAGTAATTGTTTGAGAGCGCAATTGTTATATACAATCTTTAACCCGGGCCATTAAGGAACTTGGAGCGAGAGAAAACAAAGTCTCAACGGAAACAATGCGGTTAAAGTGCGGTTTTCTAATAGTTCCTTATTTATATTTATATGTACATTGGGTGGCTGTGCACGAACGAAATACGGTGGCTTTAGAAAAATAGAGGAAGCTTTTCAATAAAAATTTAGTTGGACCCACTCACAAAACATCATCCTTACAGAAAACAGTTGCCCTTTCGGGGGAGGCGCGTATAGTATGCAAACAAGGTCTGGGTATCTCAGTGGGTCTTTGGGAGTTGGCGCAGTGTTGCGCAAATGGCTTGGTGCGCCAACCCAACGTACCGG